CCGCTGGCCGCAGCCTTGTCCGCGGGCTGCCCGCACGTCCCGCACAGCACGGTGCGTGAGCGCAGGTTGTACTCCGCGGGGTCCCCCGAGCTGCTGCAGTGGGAGCCCTGAGGAGGAAGACAAGGCTCAGGCCAACACGGCGAGTCTGGGACTGCGCGCTCCTGCACGCGCCAGCAGGCGGGAAGGCGGGTTCTGTGCCCGGCGGCCCCGAGGGAGGGCCCCCCGGCTGGGAGGAGGGCAGAGGGTCCGGAAGACTGGGGACTGGGAACTGGAGCTGTGGCGGGACTGTGTCCCGGCCACTGGAAGCTGAAGAGGGAGAGGAGAGCGAGCAAGCTTGTAGGGCAGCAGGCGTGCAAAATAAATGGGGCCGGGAGGTGTGAAGAGAACATTCTTGCAGGAAACAAGGGGAGAAATGGGAGCCGTGCATGCAACAGGAGCGGGAAGAGAAAGGAAATGCGTGCGACAGGAGTGGGGGGAGAGAGGCAGGGCCGGGCGCCCCACATCTGTCCTCCCGTCCCCTTCCTGGGAAACAAATCCAGACCCTGTCCGCCGCTCCCACGGGAATGCCCCACGGCATCGGAAGTCCCCACTCCCGTCCTGACCAGCTGAGGGCACCCAGACACCTGGGTTCCCTGTTCAAGGTACAGGGAGGAGAGAAGAAAAGCCAGGGCAGCGCGTGAAGTTCCAAAACATTCTTTAATGAAAACATTTTTGGCAAGGGGAGGCCTGGCTGGGTGCCCGAGTGTGGGCTCGGCCTCAGCGGCGGCTGCCACTCACATGGTGGTGATGGAGCAGGTCATCTCCATCCTCATCCTCGTCGTCCTCAACCACAGTCACTGAGCGCACCAGCTTGCGCATGGCCACCTCCTGCCAGGGACAGGGGACCAGGCCCAGGGTTTAGGGGGTCAGAGCCAGGGCAGGGGCGGGGGGCATCTCCACTCACAGTGACCACCTGCGGTCTGCTGTCCGTGGCGCTGGGGTGGACGAGCTTTCCTTCCCCCGCGGGACGCCGTCAGGCTCCCTGGGCAGGACCGCACAGCTGCCCTTAACGATCCCCGCTGTCTCCCTCCCCTCCTCCTGCTGCTGGGGGCGGGGGGCATCTCCGGGTCTGACCACTGGGTGGAGAGTCTGGGGCCCAGGGCTGCACCGGAGGGAGTTAGGGCAGAGTGGCCGTGACCCGGTCCCCTGGGGGAGCCCTGGCCAGCCAGAGGCCAGCCAGAGGCCAGCCCGCAGCATACTCACTTCCCCAGTGGAGTTGATGAGAGCCGTGCGCAGGCTGTTCCCACAGCCCCAAGTGTTCTGTGCCTTCCACACCAGGTCGGTGGGGGGGCTATGGGTGGCCCCGGCGCCTGCAGCCCAGATCTGGGGAGGCAGGGTTCAAGGAGGGTGCTCAGTCCAGCGTGCCCACCCTCAGGCCAACCCCTCCCCGCCCAAGGCCGTCCCAGAGTCCCCTCTGGGGACCCTGCCACTCACCGTCACCACCTGCCCAGCCTTCAGGGTGAACTTCGGTGGGAAGCGGTAGGTCAGCAAGGGGTCATCTCCATTCTGGCGCTTGATCTGCCAATTGCCCATGGACTGGTCCTGCCAGGAAGGAAGGGAAGGGGAAGGTGGGGGAGGCTCGTTCAGGCTCCCAGGGCCACGCTGCTCGCGGGCCTGGGCAGGGTCCCTCAGGGAGAACAGCTGAGCTCTGTGGACACCCAGGCGGCACCGGGCACGCTGGGGTCTGGCGGCCAGTGCAGGGCCACCCAGCCCGGGGCCGTCTCTGGGAGGGGCAGCCCTCCGTCCCAACGCCACCCCCTCCTGCTGGGCTCGCTCCCTGCCTGGCCGTAGCCCGAGCCCCAGCCCCAGCCCGGGCGCCCACCTCGCTGGACTTGTTGCGCAGCCGCACGAACTTGCCCTCCTCATCCACCTCCTCCACGGCCACGCGGCCGCTGGTGCGCGCATGCTGCGAGAAGCTGCTGCGGCTCTCCGCGGACTCGAGCTTGCGCTTCTTGGTGACGCTGCCCGACCCCTGCGTCTGCGAGGAGTGGGAGGAGGTGCGGCCTCGGCTGCGCTGCGAGGTGGGGCTGGGGGACAGGCGCAGCCTGGCGAGGGGACACGGAGGGGCCTGGTCAAGGCGGGCAGCGGGCCGGGGCGGCGCGGGCAGCCCCCCACCCCCACCCGGCCCCTCCCCGCCCCACCTCTCCTCCTCGCCCTCCAGGAGCTTGCGGTAGGCGTGGATCTCCATGTCCAGGGCCAGCTTGATGTCCAGCAGCTCCTGGTACTCGTCCAGCTGCTGCTGCATCCTCGCCCGCATCTCCGCCGTCTCCCGCTCCTTCTCGGCCAGCAGCCGCCGGCTGGTGTCGCGCTCGCGGGCCAGCGAGTCCTCCAGGTCCCGCAGCTTCGCCTCCTTGGCCGCCAGCTGGGCGAGGGAGCCGGGGCCAGGTGAGCTCCCAGGGCCCAGGATGGAGGCGCCAGCCACGGCCCCTGCCGTGCGGCCCTCCCCCCGGCTCTCCGCCTCCCCTGTAACTAACCAACATCTCTGCCTGCTCCCCCGGCCACAAACGCACAGCTGGCCAGAACATCGAGCCTTGCGGAGGGTAAGGAGGGCCTCCATTTTCAAACGGGAACACCAAGGCTCTGAGGAGCGAGGGTCATGCCAGGCAGACCAGGTCACTGGACTCTGAATCCTAGGCTCCCCACTCAGTCTGTGGTCCTGGGGGCACGTTCTGTCCCTCAGCCATCCCCTCCCCTCCTTGGGCCCTCCCCTACATCCCTCCTGACCCCTGGCCCCTGGCCCGGAGGGGTGGGGGGGCAGCACCTGCTTCTGCAGCTGGCTGAGCTGGGCCGAGAGGCTGTCGATGCGGATGCGGGACTGTTGCAGCTCCTCGTGCGCAGCCCCCACCAGGTTGCTGTTCCTCTCAGCTGACTGCCTGGCATTGTCCAGCTTCAGGGGAGAACACCAGGTTAGGGCACCCAGAGCTCCCCCGCTCCCCCGGATGGACAGAGGAGGTGGGGGCTGGGGCGCGGGGGATGGGATAGGGGGCAAGCACCTTGGCAGAGTAGGTCTTCTCCAGCTCCTTCTTGTACTGCTCCACCTGGTCCTCATGCTGGGCCCGCAGATCCTGCAGGGCATCCGCCAGCCGGCTCTCAAACTCACGCTGCTTCCCGTTGTCAATCTCCACCAGCCGGGTCTCATGCCGGCGCTTAGTCTCACGTAGCTCCTGGGAGGGACACAGAGCCAAGATCACAACTAGTCCTTGGATCATGAGGCTCAGAGGGCCAAGCCCCCTGCCCAAGCCTATGCTTGAGCAAAGCCACTGTCACCCTCCTTTAACCTGGGGGCTGGGTGCTGGACACCGCCCCCCCCCCACTCCCCATCCACTAGTACAAGGCAGTCAGGCAGGCAAGGCCTGCACCCAGTTGAGTCCCAGCCCGCTCCTCTGGCCCTCAGAGCACCGTCCCCACCTCGCTGTAGATGTTCTTCTGGAAGTCCAGCTCCTCCTTCAGGGTCTGCAGCCTGTTCTCGGCGTCCACCCGCCGCAGCATCTCGTCCTGGAGCTGCTTCTTGGCCTCACCCAGGGCTGCCTCGAGCTGAGAGGAAGGGGGCCGAGGTCAGGGAGAGGGGCCACAGAACATCAGAGCTGCAAGGAAGCTGAGAGTGTCCGCGTCCAGCACAGCCCTTCACGTGTGCAGAGACCAGTGCGGGGGTCGGAGAGCCTCGGCCGGCACCGAGGTCACTGTGTCTCGTCGCGCACAGAAACCGCTCTGGGCGGGTGCTGCGTCCCTCTCTGCACAACACAGCAAGTGCTCTAAAGGAGGTCCAAAAGTACAGAGGAACACAAGGCAAGAAACCAAAGTGTGCCTGGGGGGTGGGGGGCACTGCGGTGACCTCGGGGCGGGGAAGAAGAGCCCGTGCAAAGCCCGGGGGTATGAAGGTGCACTGTGCCCTGCAGGGTCCTCAGGAGGATCAGTAATGCCAGAGCCCGCAGGGAGGGCCGGGCAGCAAGGGGGGGGAGGGGGAGCACCGGAAGGCAGGGGCTGGACCATGAAGAGGTGCCCCTTGTCTGCCACAGAAAGATCTCTGGCGTGGGAGAGGCAGAGCACCTTTCCTAGATTTTGGTCTCCGAAAGCCCCGGCTGCTGGGGGGCAGGGCAGAGCTGGAGGCGGGGGGCCTGGAGGAGACCGGCCCAGCCCAGGCTTTGCAGTCAGCTGGTCAGCCCGCCGGCCTCTCCCATCAGCGGCAGCAGGGCCTGGGAGGGGACAGAGCCCACGATGGGGGCTCGGCAACTGACGCGGGTCGTGACCCTGCTCTGAGCACGGTGGGAGCAAGCCAGCTTTCCTAGATCCTGTCCCAAGCCTGCGATACGAGACGGGAGGCAGGACGGATGGTGAAGGGTTTTGAAGGTAGAGACAACCACGTACGTGCCAAGGATTAAGAACATGCGTCCCGAATGTGATTAGCCCTCCACTCCCGACTCAGGCTCTCTGACAGCACAGCCAAACCAGGAGGGACTGGCCACACACGATTCCTTGCAAAGTTACGTGGAAGTGGCTGTGGGCTATTTTATTTATGAACGTAAGCTCTACACCTGACGCGGGGCTCCCCCTCACGGCCCCGAGATCAAGAGTCGCACACCGTACCCACTGAGCCGGCCGGGCTCCTGTGCTGGATGTCCAGGAGCAGAGGGGGCTGCAATAAGGTGGGCATGGGGGGCCGGGGGCCGGCAGGGGTACGGCCCTGATGCCGTGTCCCTGGGGCAGGACACACAGCAACTGGGCTGAAAGGCTGAGTAGGGTGGCCGGCATTTGTCCGGCGGGAGGCAGGGTCACGGCTGGCCCAGAGGGTGGCCTCACCTTGGCCACCTGGCCCCGCAGGTCATGAAGCTCGCCCTCCAGCGTGCGCTTCTCGCTCAGTGCAGTGCTCAGTGCGGCCTCCTTGGAGTTGAGCAGAGCTTCCAGGTCCTTGAGCCGGGCCTGGGCGGCCATCAAGTCGCCCTCCTTCTTGGTATTGCTAAGGAAGCAAGGGAAGAGTGGGCTTAGGAGGAGTCTGTGTCCCCAGGGAGAACCAGGGCGCCCCCCGGGGGAGCCAGAAGTCCCCTCCCAGAGGCAGCCCAGCCGCAGCCCAGCGTGCCTGTCCCGCAAAGTGCCAGCAGAGGGCAGCCTCCCTCTTGGCTTGTTTGTCTCCGCCTGCCCCTGGGGCTGGACTCCCACTCCCCCCAAGGTCCCCCAAACCCCCTTCCTGCTTCTCTACCCTTCCCATGACTCAGTGCTCAGGAACGTGCCGCGGGCCAAGGGCACAGCGCAATCCCATGAGATGAATGCTTTTCCCTCTCTCTCCTCCCATTCCTTCCCAAAGAGACAGGGCCACCTTTGTCTCCTGCCCCTTCCCACACAGGGCCTTAACCTTCTGCCTGACTCCACCTACCCTCCATTAGGCCAGGCTCCCTCCCTGCAGGGGCCCAGACAGCCAGGCTCCCAGCCCTGGGGTCCATGCCTCCCTACCACAGCTGGAGCCCCAAAAGTATGGGTCACTTCTCCTAGCCCCTTTTACACACAACGGGGACGGTCTGGTTAAAACTCAGGGAGGAGGACAGCCACCCGTCCCTTTCTCAGACCCAGTCTAGGTCCCCTGATTGGGGCCCAGCACAGGGTTCCAGCCGCCCTCCCTCTGGGCCTTATCAGAGCTTGAGAGAATACTAAGCCCTACCGTTCGGCAAGCCTCAGCATCTGGCTCCAGATGTGGCCCTGGGTCTCCAGGTCCATCTGGGCTCCAGCCTGGAGCCTCCCTACTCCTCAAACTGGGTAAAGCTTTAGCCAAATAACCAAATAAACGGGGCTTGCCTCTGCCACCTCCCTCCCTTTCTGGGCCCTGACTGTTTTTGCCAGATAGTGAACTAGAGACATAGAGGGGTCCAAACCTCTGGGAAACCCAAGAACTTTCCAGATGTGATGATCCCTTCACCAATATCTGGTGAGAGAAAGCAGCAGCCCCGGGGATGAAGGGAAGGAGAAGGAGCCCAGGGCCTGGCCCGGCTGCCCTCTCTAACTCCTCAGTCCAGAGCATGAGCCACATGACAGGAGGGGAAAGGAAAACCAAACGTTGGCGGGAGGGTGGGGGTGGAATTCTGGATTTCTGTCCTGGAAGGAAGAAAAGTGGCCCCGCCAACATTTTTTTCCTCCGCAGAAGCCCTCAGCTCCAAGAGACCCAGCGGTGCCCCGTGAGGCCGCGGGAGCCTTGAGGAAGCTCTGCAGGGAGCAGCCCAGACAGGCGGCTTCTCCTGCCACCAGCTCAGAACTTGTCAAACGGAGTCACTGGTCTCCAGCAGGGCCCCACCAGGAGGGGGACACAGTGACACAGAGCTGGGGGGGGGGGACGCTAAGACCTGGAGGGGGTGCCCCCCCACAGGTTCGCTTGTCCGGCCGACCGTGGCCAGGCCTCAGAACATCAGAACAAGCCATTTGACACAAGAGCGGTGGTCTCCCGCGAAAAGAGGCCCTTCCAGCCCCAGAGGATGTCTCCCCTCCTCCGTCTCAGCCAGAAAAGCTAAAAATAAAGTCAAAACCCAGCTCAGGTTTTGGCTGCCATCCGGCCCGGCCCCTGGCTGGGAGCACAGCCCCAACTTTCCATGACTTCAGAACTTCTCCGAAGCTGAGCCAGCTGCAGGGGAGGAACGAAGAAGAAGAAACCGCTGGTAAAGTGAAGCCACGCAGCCGAGCGGACTGCGGCTCCTGGGCTGGCCCCAAGGTGCAGGGCCTGCCCCGCAGAGGCCTCTCCACCCTGCAGCCTGCGCGGCTGCCGCCCTCGGGACCGGGAGCTCGGAAAGGAGCCCGCGGGGCGGCCAGTGCAGGCCCCCCCCTTTCACAGAGGTAGAAGTAAAGGGCCGGGTGCCGGCCTGCAGGCGGCGGTGGCCCGGGGCTGGGGTCACAGTCAGCCCTGCTGCCGGGGCCCCCCTCCCCACGCTGCCCTCCTCCGCCTGGGCTCCCGAGGGCGCGTGCGGGGAACCGGCCTTCCCGCCAGGGCGCAGGGCCCCGGGCTGAGAGCAGACGAGCTGCGCCTGCCCTCTGCCAGCTCCTCGCACCCACTGCTCGCCCAGACGGTGGTGTTGGTAACAACAGGAACCAGAACGCGAAGGCAGCAAGCGCGCCCGCGGGCGGATGGTGTGGCCCGGCGCCCTCCCCGGCACCGAGGACAGGAGGCACAGAGGGTCGCGTCCAGGGGCCGGTGGCAACCGGCAGCAGAGTGGCCAGCAGGGCTGGTTAGCCTCAGCCCAGCCCTGAGCGCGGCCTCCAAAGCAAGGAGGGGGCGATGTTTCCCTCCGGGCAGCCGCAGCGGGAAACCGCCAGCACACGGGGAGGGGAAGGGGGGCCCTGGCGGTTCTCTCGGTCAGGCTGGGGAGCTCCCAGCGTGCGGAAGAAGCCACTGTCACCCACAGCTCAGGAGCTGTGGCCAGGGAGCCACACACCCACCCCGAGAGACGGCTGGGGGTGGTGCGGAGCCCCGCGCCTCGCCTGCCTGCTCCCCTGGCTTGCCGGCCTAGGCCTAGGCCCCCACCCTGCCCCCAGCAGGGACCCCAAGCTGACCCTGGCCAGGTGGTCAGCCCCTCAGGGGCCAGGGCCACTGGGGCTGGTGGGGAGCGGTGGGGGGGGGCGGCCGGGCGCCCAGGAGGGCGAGGCCGGGGCTGCAGGTGACTCATCCTCGGGCAGACAATACCCAGGCAGCGGTCGGGAAATCCTCCAGTACTCACAGGGGAGACCCTGACTCTGCCCACGTCCTGCGCCAGTCCGTACGTCCAGGTCCCCCGAGCGCAGGATGCTCCCCAGGGCCCCGTGAGGCCAGCAGGGCTGGGCATCCATTTCTGCCTCCCCCCACAGCTGCCACAGCCCATCTCTGGAGGGACAGGCGGGTGCGGGGCACGGCCGGAGGCTGTGGGTCTGCAGAGCGGAGGTGGCGGGTGGGCCAGGCCTCGGGGGCAGCAAAGGGGCCGGGTGCTGGCCCGCCCACTGAGTCACCCTCCTCAGCCCAGCTCCCACGCCAGATACGGAAGCCAGGCCGCCCAGGCCTGTTTGGGACCCGTTGCTAGGGGCAACCTGCTAGGCCGCAAGGGGGAGGCCCTCATTTCCTCCTCTGCGGGCTGAGGAAGACAGGGGGGACAGAGCTCAGGCCACCCTCCAAATAAGAAGGGGGAGGGGAAGATGGCCACGGGGGCTCCGAGGAGCTGGCCCAGCCCCGCAGGGGCTCCCTCCCGCCCCCTCCGGCCCCTCAATCTCACCGGCACATGGAGTTCCCCATGGCTGGGCGACCCCAGGACAGGAGGGAGGGGAGGGGAGAGCAGGATCTCTGAGCCCCACAGGGAAGGGCGCCCCCTGTGGCAGGGCAGGGCAGGGCAGGGCAGGGCAGGGCAGGGCAGGGCAGGGTGGGTGTGTAGGCAGCAGGGAGCTCTTCCCTTTCCTCCCAGGACTCAGACCCGGGCCCAAGCTGACTTCCTGCCAGTGAGGGGCGTCTCCCCTGGCCAGCCGCCTCTTTGTTCCAGCAGCCCCTCCCCTGCAATCTGTCCTTCCCTCCCTCTGGCCATCCAAGTCCACCCCCATGGTTGCAAGGCCTCAGCCCTGCCCTGGCACTCTGCCCCCTCCCCCACCACGTGCTCTGCTGTTTTTACCTGCTGGTTTACACTGTCCACTTACGTCTGGGGCTTTTCCTGTCTGTGCCTGGAATGCCTTTGGGCGAGCAGTTCACAGGCCCCAGGCTCCTGGCCGGGCCTCCTCCTGGGCCAACCCCTGCACGGTCACAGCTGGGGAAACCAAGCCCTGGACCAGGGAAGGCTTACCCACAGGGTCACCTGAGGACACTCACAGCAGACAGGGACAGAGCACCGAAAATGGCAGTGGTGAAGCAGGGGGGCACGGGGGGGCTGGGGGGGGCTCAGGCACCCAGGAAGCAAAGCCTGGGAGGCGCATCCCCCTCGGCCTCCCCAGGGTGATGCCGTCCAGATGCACACGCTCCCACAGCCGCGTGCGAAGCCATGGGCTTGGACGTTCCCCACCCCGAAAAGGACCCACTACTTGGTTGCCTGGCTGGGCTGTGGGTCGGCCACCACTTTCTGGTTTGGGCAGGATGTGGGAAGACGGGACATGTGGGCCTCGAGGTACCAGCGTTCGCAGGTAAAGAGACCTTCAGAGGAGAACTGAGGTGGGACGGGTGCTTCCTGGAGCCTTCTGAGTGCCTTACAGCTGGAGAGCACAGGCGGGCCCCTCAGGGTGGACCCCAGCCCGACCTCCCCACACGGGCATGGGCACAGCCCTGCTGCCACGTGCCTCTCTTGGGTGTGACGCCACTGCTCCTGTCTGGGGTTCAAGGCCCTAAGATCCCTGTCCAGAGCCACGGGGCTCCGGCTGTCCCCGCTGCGGACAAAGCCAGGTGGTGCTCCAGGCCGGGGGCGGGGGCTGGAGGCAGAGAAGAGGGCCGGGAGGCCTGTGGACATGTTCAGACGCAACTCCAGCAGAGGCAGGGCTGGCAGGGGGCCAGGCCTGAGTCACAGCTGCTGGGTGTATCCACGTGGCATTGTACCGAGGCAGGGGGGGCCCGCGGCCAGAGGCTGGGCCTTGGGGTACTGCACAACAGGCAGCCGGCTTCCTGACCCACTGCTCTCTCAAGGTCCCTGCCAACTCCACTTTCCTTCTTCTTGGCCTATCTCTCCAGAAGTCACGCCCGCGTTGTCATGGCAATGCAGGGCTGAGGCCTGGCGACAGACCAAAAGAAGTAGGGGCATGGCGGGGATAGCCTAGGAAGAGGTCAAATGTCCTGGGGGGAGAGGGAGGGAGGCCACCAGCCAAAGGGAGGGACATTTAGGGGATCCCCACAAGAAGCGGACTCAGAAGTCCCTTCTTTAGGATGCATTAACTCTCCATCTGGTGGCTTATGCTTATTAACCCCGTGACAGCAAGAGGGGGTGGGAGCCACACCCCAAGATCAGTAAAGGAAGTGGGAGGACCTAGGAGTTCTGGTCCCACTGCATTCCAGCTCCAGCCTAGGAAGGTGGGACTTTCTCTCAGGGCAGAGGTGTCAGCTTAGAGCTTCAGGAGAAGGGGGGGCCTTGGAAATCCCCATCCTTCCAATGCCCAGAAAATGGGCCCCTTGTTATGAGGGTCTCTAGCTCCTCCGATCCAGCCCTAAAGGGACACGTGTGTTCTGTCCCCTCCATTTGTCCCCCATGCTAGTCCTGCCCTCGTCCCTCTTGCTGCTACGGAGCAAGAGCATCCATTGTGCTCCTCGATAAAAGGTTACCCCAAGCCCTTCCTTCTCCCACCGAGCAAGCTCAGGGTCTCCCGCCTGCTCTCCACTCTGCCCTCTACCGTGACTCAGCTCCTCTGCCAGGCCTGGGATCCCAGCCAGAATGAATCCTGGCTTCCTCTCCCACAGAGGGGCAGGGAGCACCCCCGCCCTGCCCCCTCCTTCCCAAACTCTGTCCCCTTCCAGGACCTCCTCACAGCCCGACCTCAGGCTGGGGGAGCCGGAGTGGGTGCAGGAAGGGAAGTGGGTAGGCAGCCCAAGGTCAGCCGCACCTCCGCTGGCTGGCCCGCTCTGAGGCAACGGCGTGGCTCTTCCCAGGGAGAGCGTCCCTGCCACCCCGTGGCACTCAGGCCGTCCTGCGTAACACGGCCCTTTCCACCGTCCTGGAAGGAGACGCGTGACGACCAAGTGTCCCTTCTTACTAGCAATAAAAACAAAGCATAAACCAGGAACTTCATTAACTGTCCGCACAAACTTTCTGTGAGAAATCAAGAAGCGTGCCTGTATTTTTCATTCCACAGCTTGTGGGAAACGTTTCTATTGAGAATAGCGTTGGCCATTAATTATATTCACATTAAGTGGATTTGATTTTAACATTTATAGCTTGGTACTTTAGAGGACTATTTTCTCACTTTGTGGGTCACTGTGCTGCTTTGAAACCTAAGGGATCTCTGGAGACCTTCTGCTCTAACCCCTTTATTTCATAGCTGGGGAAATCCAGAGAGGGAAGGCGATTGGCTCAAGGTCACACAGCAGCGTCGCAGCAGGACCAAGCCTAGGACTAAGGACATCGAGGCCCAGGACCGTTTCTACTACCTCATACTACCTGTCATTCTGCTGGTGGGCGACCTCATTAAGGGAGACCCTGCTGCCGTTCTCCGGACATTCCCAAGAATACCAGAGCTTGGCCGGAGTCACTTTCAGTACACTGGGGCTCCAGGAGGCGGGAATGGGGCACACTGCCCTGGGGCTAGGCCTCTGAGCTGGACCTGGGGGAGCTGGGGGAGGAAGGCTGGGGGGGTGGGCAGAGGCACAGCTGGGAGGTGAAGGCGTCACCAACCAGTTGCTCCCCCAGCTGTCCCTGGCTTCAGCCCTGACACTGAACTACTGAATCCCGGAGGTGGGGAGCGGGGGCGGGGGCAGGACTGGGGATGAGGGGCATATCCTCTGCAAGAGTAAGGCTCAGAATGGAGGCTGACGGGTACCAGCCAGGGGCACTGGTCACAGGAAGGCAGTCGGGAAGCCGAGCAGGAATTACTGTCTCTTTTGTTTCTCTTGGGCTCCTCAAGTAGTGCCCTCCTTCACTGCCTTTGAATCAGAACGTTGACTTCAGGGTGGGGGTGGCAGCGAGAGATAGCACCAGGGGCTCCCTCGGGTGAGGACAGGGGCCCAGGTTTCCTCAAAGGCCTCCATCCCTGTTCCCTAGGTCTCTGCCAAAGGGCACAGCCTCCTTCGGGTCCAGGTAGACACCCAAGGACAAGTCCCAAGAGAGGAATACCCAGCCTTCCAGAGCTCTGAGGATCCATGGCCTGGCAGGGTCATGGGTCTTTCCAGGTACAGGGTAGAGCTAAGGCTGGGTATTAGCAGACCCTGGCAGGTCCCACTGGTCTCAGAGCAGAACCTCCAGACGGCAGGAGTGAGCCTCGGCCACCCGGCCCCACCCTCAGGACCCCCCCACCTGTCCTCTAAGCCAGAAGAAGTCAGGCCTCGTGATACAGGCACTCATCTGGAAGTCAGAAGGCCTGTGCTCAAGTCCTGACCCATCACCCTCTTGCTGTGTGACACAGGACAAGCCTCTGCACCTCTCTGGCCGAATGAGCGCTAGGATGAGCCTGGGCCTCCACTTCCCTGCCCAGCCCCACTGCCCCGAAGGCAGACAATACAGGAAGTTGTCAAGCACCCAGCCTCGTCCGGGGGGGAAGAGGAACTTCTGCTTTGTGGGCCCAGGATCTCCCCACTTCTGACTCAGTCTTCCTCCACCATTCCCATGTGGGCAGGCGTAGGCCCAGCTCCGAGCTGCAGCCCCGTAACAGGACTCAGCTCTGGAACCAACCACCTGTTGCACTCTGCCCATCGGGGCCCTGGCTCCAGACCACCAGCAGAGGTCCCAAGGAAGAAGGCAGGAAAGGCTCCCAGGATGCAATGGGGAGCAGGGGGAGAAGATGCAGGCATTCAGGCCCCCATCCCTCCCTTTAAGACATCTGCCATCTCCACCCTGTGTCGCTGTCTCTTGTAAAGCCACCAGGGTGGAAGGGAGGGGGGCAGCATCTGAGTCATCTACCCAGCTGTCATGCCTGGGATGGGGCCCAGCTCTAAGCCTGGACCCCAGGGGGGCCTTCCCTGGTGTTTTCAGCTCCCCGTCCTTGCCACACTTAGGTGTCCAAATACTTCAGACTCCAGAATACACAGAATGTGTGTGTGGGTACTGGGGGGTTTGTTTCTGCTTGGAGCCTATAACCCAGCCCAACGAGAGGGCACCTTAAAGCCCTGGGTGTGGTCAAGGTACCAGGCTGGGCCAAGGGGATCTTGCAGATGGCTCTGCACCCCAACCAGACGCCTGGCCCTGAACTCTGAGCTCTAATTAAACATTAAACCGGACAACACCTTCTCTCTAGGCTTGAGTGGGAGGAGTTAGGAAAATGCCTTTCTTCCTCTCCCAAATTCTTCATTCTACTCTTCTCTGCCTTGTCCTGGGCACAGCAACAAAAAGAAGCACCCAATCTTGGCTCCTCCCACTGGGGACAGAGAAGGGGACAGACACCCCAGTCGGAGCCCCCTCTGTCTCCACCCTGCCTCCCAGCAGCCGGAGATCCAGGTGTGCAAACCCACCGCCCTCTTCCGGAAGCCCAGCCTCCCCAGCCAGGATCAGAGGGGGAGAAGAGAGGCAGATGGCTAAATATAACCAGTGCACACACCACCCCCGCCCCTGCCCCACGTGCACACACACCCGCCTGCCGTCCCAGGCCTGGACAGCTGCACCGAGAGGCCGAGGAGACAGCCTGGCGTGGCTGGGTTAGCAAGGGATGGCTGACTCTACTTATCCTGTCTCCCGATCAATGTCCTCGCCACAGAAAGACCTGCTGAGAATGCCCTTCACAGGAATGGGCAACGGTGGACTATTTTAGCACACTAATTCTCTGGGCACCACCCCCTCCCCCCAGCTTGCCTCCTGTCTGTCCCGCTAGCTCAGTTGTTCATGTCACTACTGCAAAAGACAGGAGTGATCTCTGTCAAAAGTCCCCCCCCAAAGTCAACCTGTCTGTCTGTGTGCCCAGTTTCCACCTACTCTTCAGGGGGGGATGGACCCACCATGCCCACTAGGCCAGGGGCCTGGCCGGTGAAGGGCAGAAAGAGCACTGGATAGAGAGAGGCTCCGAGGAAGGCAAGAGTTTGGAGAAGAGGATCAAAAGACAGGGAAAGAGGGGAAGTCAAGCCGTGGGGCCCCCCACCCCAGGGATCTCAAGCACCTTTAGTGCTCCTTGGCTTGGGTGTTCATAGAGAAAAGGGGCACAGGGAGGAGGAAAGCAAATTCTCGGAGGCTAGGAAAGGATGGCCTAAACTTCCAGGCTCCAAAGGCCTTTTGAGAAAAGAGGGTGGAGTCAAGTAGGGTGGGGTCGGGTGGGGCAGGGATGGGTGAGGTAGGAGTGGCCTGAAGCGCCCAACGGCCGCATTTCAAAAATGTCGCTGTATTCCAGCAGTTTCATAAGGCAAAGAGCAAAACCCGTCAGGGGCCGAGTGGACAGGGCACAGCAAAGACTGCTCGGAATGAAAGGGGCTCACCCCAAGCAGAGAGGCAGGGAGGAGCAGAGCCCCCAAGGGCCCAGACACCAGGCCCAGGGCCCAGGGGAGTGCACCAGACCTGGGCATAACACAACTTCCTGAGCCGGAGCCTCTGCCCTCTGTCTCCCTCCCTCTCCTGCATTCCTGGGCCAAGCAGGCCAAGGGCTGTGGGAGCTGCGGGGGAGCCGTGCTCCTGGAGCCGTTTGGAGGGCCTGTCAGAGCCCAGGGAAGGTCCCAGACATTCAGGGAGTGGAGGAGAGCTTCCCAACTCCTCAAACCCTGGAAAGAGTTGTGCGGCGGGAGTCACCTCCATGTCCCTGCCTGGCTAACCTCTCTCCAGCACCACTGGACATCTGCCAGCAGGGGTGCCCTGTCTTAATAGGCATCATGTGTCCAGACACAGGCTGGGCAAAGTTGGCACAGTTCCAAGCCAGCCAAGAAAGTTCTAACAGGACCCTTTCACCCACTCCAGTGTGTCCTGAGCGCCCAGATTTCTCAGACCCGGCCGCGCTCGCTGTTCTTTGCCCAAGCCCCTGCCCCTAGCTCCAAGTGGCCGGCCACCCCCACCCAGACAGAGGGGGCCTGCCAGCAGCCCTTACTCGGCCCTGATGCCCCCACCGTTCCCTATACAGGCCGCCCTCTGCCAGAGACCCCTCCCTTCTCTGTCCTGTCTTGACAATGTCCCTTGGCACGGCCAGTCACCCGCTGGGGCAGTTCCGGGCAGGGAGGGGACTATCAGGCCAAGTTATCGGCCGGCCGCTGGAGTCGGACTGCGACGACGGTCCGCCCACCCCCTCCGCTCCCGCCCCGCGCGCCGCCACCTGGCCGCACTCACCGCGCTTTGAGCTCCTTGAACTCCTCGCGCACTTTGCTCAGCTCCAGCTGCAGGCGGGCGCGCTCCTTGGCCACCGAGTCGAGGGTCTTGCGGGCATCCCCGAGCTCGGCCTCGTAGGCGGCCTTGATACCGGACACCTCGCGGCTGACCACCTCCTCGGACTCGGTGATGCGAAGGCGCAGCCCTGCGTTCTCCGTCTCCAGCGAGCGCACACGGTCGATGTAGACCGCCAGGCGGTCATTGAGCTCCTGCAGGTCCTCCTTCTCCTGCAACCGGGTGATGCGGGTGGGCGACAGCGGGGTGGAGCCGGCCTGCGCCCCGCTGCGGGTGGCGCGCCGCTGGGACGGGGTCTCCATGGCCGGCAGGGTGGCAACGCTGCCCGCGGGGCAGAGGTCCCGGGAAGGGCGCGGGGCTCGGGCCGAAGGGCAGAGACTGCTCGGGGTCGGAGCGCGCGGGCCGGCTGGCTCTCGGCGGGCTCCTGGCAGGCGTGGGGTCTGGGCCGGGCGCTGTCGGACCTCGGGATCCGGGTGCGCTGCTGGGGCTGCGGCGCTCCCGCGGACACTCTGAGTCACCGACGCCGGGCAGAGGCTCTAATAGGTCTAGGGAGTGGGAGGAGGGGCCGCCGCTCTTAAAGGGGCCGCGGCACACCCGCAGCGGGAGGTGAGGGGGCGGCGAGGAGGGGCGAGGACGCGGGGCGGCGGCGGAGCGGGGCTCCACCCTGTCCCGCGCGCCCGCTCGGCCTGGGGCTTCTCCCGTCTTGAGTCTGCCTGCTCGAGGGTTCCCGGCTGCAAGCTCGCCCCCACCGGCTCCGGCCTTCCCGGGTAGAAGGCCGAGCCAAGGCTGAGAGTGGGTGGGCAAAGGGCAGGAGGAAGAGGGAAAGCGGCTGTAGGGGCCGAGGAGGGCCAGGCAGGCAGATCCAGGAAAGGTGGGGGGAGGACTGAGGCTGGTGCCCATTAGGGTGACTCACTCTTCTTCCACCGCTGGCTCCCCCTTTCCTCCCCATAGTAATAGTGAGTCACCCCTACCCCCCTCCACATGTGGGCAGCCCATTCAAAGCAGCATCTCAGTGTGCCAGGGTGGGGTTGGGAAGGAATGCCTGGGCTCCCTGGGGCGCCCTGCTGCAGGGAAATTCTGGATCCTGAGTTCCTTTAACCCTCAAATTTGGGGCAAGGACCAGAAGTTTGGGGTCCCTCTTTTCCTATCTTCTGCCCCAACTTTGCCCTTCAAAACCAAGCATTGGGTCTTGGACCCCAGCACCAAGCTACAGACCCCCACAGAAAGCCAACAGTAGGACCCCGGCACTTGCGCCCATCTCCTGCCCCCTTCCTTTGGACCCAAACAACTGGAAAAAGAGGCTGCCTAGGTTCTTCCCCCTTCAGTCCCTTTCTACTCCTTCTACCCCACCCCACCAACTCCAAGACTGTACTTATTTTTTTTTTCCAGGACTGTACTTATTTTAATGGATAATTTAAAACAGATACCAGAGCTGTGTGTGCATTCATCACGTTGCCAGGACACCAGGTCCCAGATTCTTGTGGTTCCCAGAGGGGCCTGAGAGGGGGAGCAGGGCAGGGGCTGGACAGCCAGTGGGGGGTCTCTGTCCTGGTTTCAACCAGGGAGGCAGTGCTGGGGGGCTGGGACAGCAAAGACCCCACAATCCTTCTGGTTGCACTTATCCCTACATACCTCTGTGGCCAGGTCTGCTTTGCCACTGGATCACCCAGGTCCCCATGCGTCCCCACCCCAGGCTCCGGAGCCTCCATCCTCAGGCCTCACCAAGGACTCCTCTGATCAGCCTTCTACTCCCCTCCCCTAATCCTGGCCCTGGTCCCACCGGCCACCCCATCCTCTCTAAGAGGTGGCAGGGCCGAGGTTCCAGAACCCAAGTGCGTTCATGTCCTGCCCCTGTGCCTCCCACGGCTTCTTCTCTGGTGAAGAACCCAGAAAACTCAATTATGTTGCTAACGCCTACAGGTCCAGGATATTAGGGTTTCTGTAATATGAAAGGGAAGCAGAGCCGGACCGGCCCTCTTTCCTGGGTTCTGGAGCCAGGCCTCAGAGTACACAGGGGTTGGAGTGGGGTTAGGACAGGGACTCTGAGTATTTATGGAGGGGAACTGTGCAGGGGATGCTTGGGTTCCTATCTCTATGAGGGTGACCGGGCATTGTGGTGAGCATCCAGGATGCACCCAAGTGAGGGATCCAGGATATGGCTCTCTGCATGCAGCTCTCTTCCCCAGGGCGTGGCACCCACTCTCAGCTTCCCAGACAAAACAAAAAGTCTTGTTCTGCTTCTCCCTCTTCTGTTCCCCAAACTAGGAGCAGAGGCGGGGTGGGTTAGCCAGTGAAACGTGAGGGTCAGGGCTCATGCTGTTCCCACTGCCTCAGCCCCCCTGGCAGCAAGCCCCCCCACCCCCCCAGGTCCCAGACAGGCCCAGCTTCCCTTCCTGGCAGGGGAAGCAAAACCACACTTAACCCTTCCTATCCCAGACCTCCCCATCTTTGTGAAAAAGAGGCAGGAGAAAGGAGGGGGGGATCTTACCCCAAATTTCACTCTAGGCTCTTTCCAAAGGGTCCCCCCTCCCTTACCACCACCACTGAAGGTCTCAATCCTAAATCCAAACTTCAAAGTGGGCCTTGATCCTGAATATTCAATCCTAACTGCAGACTCCCAATGCCATCAGTCCGCTCTTCCCCTGCTAGGCCACAGATCCCCAGTCCCAGAAGCAGCAGGCGAAAACACAGGAGGCCAGGTCCAGAGGAGGGAACCTGACTGGCGTTGGGGGCAGGGTTGTGGCTGGGTGGGGACCAGGTTCCAATCCTGCCTTCACTTGCAATGCAATGACAGATGGGCTACTGAATTCTTGGGGCTGCCATTCCTCAACTGTAACCTGGGCAGGATGCCTAGAAGGGGCAAGGCTAATGTGCCGGCCCTCAAGGGCGCTGCCCACTGGTGGGGAGATCGAGGGAGAGGCACAACCAACCACAGTGGTTGAAGAGCAGCATAGGACTCTGGATAATGAATTATAGATGGAATCCGGAGGCCCGAGAGTGGGAGCATTAGCAAGTAGTATCAGGATATAGGGGTTGAGTCCAAGGGGCGGTTTGGGCAGTGGAAGTAGCGCTTGTCTTGAGGACCAATGACCTTGGAGGCAGGCGCAAGGCAGCCGGTGCCTCCCTCCCTCTATGACCCTTCCTCCCAAAAGTGCTGTGAGAGACAGGAGGGACCAAGTCTTGGTCATCTGTGTCCCTAACACCTGGCTCACAAGAGGTGCTCAGTGTTTCTTACCTGAGCAAGTGCAGCTGGCCCTGCTTTTCAGGGGACTGACTCTGGCCTCACTTTCCTGGTCTATAAAGCAAGGATGCTGCAAAGATTAAGTGATATGCACTCGGGGGCTCCTGGCCGGCTCCGTGGTCAGTAGAGCGTGCAACTCCATCTCGGGCTCATGAGTTCGAGCCCCACGTTGGGTGTAGAGATTACTTAAATCAATAAATGTTTAAAATATATATACAGTTGGGGCGCCTGGGTGGCTCAGATGGTTAGGCGTCTGCCTTCGGCTCAGGTCATGATCCTGGGGTCCTGGGATCGAGCCCCGCATCGGGCTCCTGGCTCAGCAGGAAGCCTGCTTCTCCCTCTCCCTCTGCCTCTCTCCCTGCTCATGCTCTCTCTCTCTGTCTCTGTGTCTCAAATGAATAAATAAAAAATCTTTTAAAAAAATAAATAGGGCGCCTGGGTGGCTCAGTTGGTTAAGCGACTGCCTTCGGCTCGGGTCATGATCCTGGAGTCCCGGGATCGAGTCCCGCATCAGGCTCCCTGCTCGGCGGGGAGTCTGCTTCGTCCTCTGACCCTATCCCCTCTCATGTGTTCTCTCTCTCTCATTCTCTCTCTCTCAAATAATAAAAAAAAATCTTAAAATATATATATACAGTGAGATGATGCTCGACAGTAAATAACTTATACTTTTCCACTAAAGTTCATAGTTGCACATTTTCTCACACATTCTCAACTTGGTCCACAGAACCACCTTGTGGTTGGAGATGTCCCTGTTTCACAGGTGAGACTCACTTTCCCAAAACTAGATAATAAGTAATAGGCTGAGCTCAGAACTTGGACCAAGCAGCCTGGTCCAAATCCAGGACATGCCTCACTCTCTTAGGCCACTTTGGTGGAAGGCGTGGGAGGTACTGGGGTGGCCCGGTGCCTGACAGGAAGTCTGTGCAAAGGTGCTGAAGGAGGGAAGCCTGAGGCAGGTGTTCAGCCTGGCGGGCGGCCCGGAGCAAAGCCCCCAGACACAGAGCGCAGGAGTGTGGGACAAGTGGGGCACAGAGGCAGAGGCCTGCTGCGGGGATGGGCTGTGAGGGGACCAGGCTGGGGTCAAGGACAGCAGGGAGACAGGGAAGCTAGAGGGGGCGGGCTCGGCAGGAGGCATTCCAGAAGCATACTGAATGAGCAGAGCGGGTGTGTGTGTGTGTGTGTGTGTGTTTAGCAAGGGCTATTACGAGAGGCTACCTTGTTGAGCCTCCACAATAGCTCTGCAAGCTAGAAACTATTAGTAGCCCTATTTTACAGATGAGGAAACCGAAGCCCTGCAAAGTTAAATTCTTCACTTCAGGCAGGGTCTCCGAACTTCGTCAAGTTGGGCATTTGGGGCCAGAGATTTCTTCGTTATGGGGGGAGGTTCTGTGCACTGTGGGATGTTTGGCAGCATCCCTGGCCTTTACCCACTAAATGCCAGGAGCACCTCCATGACCAGCTAGGCCAATCAAAACTGCCTTCAGCCAAATGTTCCCTGTGAGGCAAAATCTCCTCCACTTGAGCACTACTTGACTAAGGTCATGTGGTTAGTAGCAGAACTGGAATTTTGACACAGGTTGGCCTGACTCTGAAAGCTAAGATCTTGCCTTTAGGATATCATCTCAGGTGGAGGGGGAGAGGAGGCTTCAAAGGGGTCCTGTGCTCCCCCCAAAGGGGTGGGAAGGGCTCTTTGGAGGAG